AGTACAATGTACTTAAGTACCGTGTACTTAGTACAATGTACTTAAGTATATTGTACTTAAGTATATTGTACTTAAGTACAATGTACTTAAGTAAAAGTACATGTCTAGCTTTGCTGCGTATTTTTCTACCAACAAAAAATCACTTTCGTAGTCTAACGACATCTGCATTAGAAAGAAGACGAAAGTTTACATGCGTATTATTAGACTTTTATATCTTTTGGTATCGAAATCAATATAATTTCCAGTTTTGTAACCTGTAATGAGTAATGGTAAATTGATAAAGGAGATATCAGAAACACATTTACAATCTGATTGGTTACAATGGGTAATAAAATCATTAATTCTTTTGAACTAAGTCACAACATCGGTTGTTTATTTTTCGTAAACAAGCAACGTCTTTAAATACTTTTCATTATGAATCTTCATCAACAACCAGTGGCCAGGATACAACTGAAAAAATATTTCGTCTTTTCTTTAATTGAACATAACCGAATTTCTGGTCACTGTCAATTATGTAATCAAGATTACAAAGATAAGGTTGGAATTTTTAGTAATTTCATAAAACATTTAAAACGAAAACATTTACCTGAATATGAACGAACATTTAACAAACAAGATGAAGGTTTATTAGAAGAAGAAATCATTGAAGGTGATGGTCGACCAACGACAGAATTATCAACAAACAAATTTAAACAAACTCGAATCAATTTAGCTATTGCTAAACATTTAATCATCAGATGCAATTTTCCACTAAATTTAGTGGAAAATCATGCGTTTCGTGATTTCATAAAAGACTGTAATGTTAAATGGACTCCAATATCGGCTAAACATCTGAAACATAATACAATTGCTCCATTCAAAGAAAAAGTAAATACAATCATTCATGATGCATTAAGTGCTGTTGACCATGTTACATTGACTGTTGATGGATGGACTGATAGAAAGTGTAGATCTTTCTTAGGTGTTACATGTCATTTCATTAATTTCAAAATGGAACCAGAATCATATTTAATTGATTTTGTTCGATTAAAATCTCCTCATACCGGTGAAAATATTCTTCAGACAACTGAATCCATTCTTGATCGTTTTCAAATTAAAGAAAAAGTTTACAAGGTAGTTACTGACAATGCTGCGTCGATGATCAAAGCTTATAAATTTGGATTGGCAGTTGATGACGAAATTAATGATAACAGTCGTGAAACTCAATTATTGTCAAAAACAAATGCAATATTGAACGATTCTTATGGTAAGTTCTTTACATTTATATAAATAAAGACGGAATGAGGACAGAATATGTCGATAGTTATAACATTAAACTGAATTTATCACAGTGGATAATTTGTCAAAATTTTGAAACGTTTAAATTAAATTGTTGAAAAATAGCGTATTCAAACAGGCGCGATTCAGTTTTCTAGAACACAATTGATGTTCTACTTAAAATTACTGCCGACAGCTAATTACAGCTGGAAGAAAACATTTATTGCTTTAACATTCTATAAAACATTTAATAATACCTATTTATAAGAGTTATGAAATTTTGCATTCATCTTTTCATAAATTTGAACAATCAATACAGTTTTTTACAAAACGATATACAAAATAAAAAATGTAGATGAAATTTTTCATTTTATTTACGAGCTTTCGATACAACTTGTATCATTGTCAGGCAACAATAAGAAGATTATACAAGAAAGATCTATATATATATACACACAAAAACATTAATTGAATTAGTCTGATCCATTTAAAACAACAATGTGTTTAACGAATTCATTAAACACATCGTTGTTTTAGATGGATCAGACTAGTTTAATTAATTTTATATATATATGTCGTGCCGAAGTTACACTTCTTGCCGAAGTTATAACTTCGACAAAATTTTTGCCGAAGTTACAACTTCGACGGACGATGTTGTCGAAGTTATAACTTCGACGATTATTCTTGCCGAAGTTATAACTTCGTCAATGTATTTCGTCGAAGTTTAACTTCGACAAACATATTTTGTCGAAGTTAGTGTGAATGATAAAATAAATATCAACTTTCAAGAAATCAACAATATCTTTCATGTTGTATCTTAAAAATTAATTTTTTCCATCAAAACAATAATACAAAATTTATTTTTCAATATTATGACAAATATACTAGCATTTCAGCAAGAATGAATATTCATTCGACTTATACTTTTACGTATTTACTGCGATACAGATGAAAAGGAGTTTGGTAGATTGTAAAGATACAACAATCTTCTATGAAACTCTAAGATTATA